GTTTTTTGAGTTATTATCGTGTTGTTTCAATCGTTTGATAAGGTTCTGTCCTGTTTCGCCAATATAGGTGGAATCACAGTCATTGCAAGATATTTTATAGACCACATTAGATACTCGTTCTAAACTAGTGCGCGGCTTTAAATTTGAGAAGAGGGAGTTGAGAGTTAAATCGATGTTGCATACTAGACGGAGATTTGCGTTATAAAAAAGTTTTTTCCACATCGGATAAAGTTCTTTGATGTAAGGAAGGCAAATGGTACCTTCAAAATTATTGTCTTTAGTGGAAATTAAACTCAGGTTGGGGTTAGTTATTTTGTTTTTTAAAAAAGTGAGTCTATTGTTTGTGACGGATTTTATAAGATGTGGGGGATAGGAATTTTGTGTAAGGGTTTTGAAAATTAAATCTAAATTTGAGGTCCAAAATTGTTCGTTAGAAAGGAGGATAGCATGGTCTACAAGATTAATGATAGTACCTATTTTCATGTTAGAGGGGTGGTAAGAGTGAAAATTTAAGTACCTACCTGACCAAGTAGGTTTTTGGTACCAGTAAGTGATAATGCGGTTGTCTGTGCTTTTAATGATTTTGACATCCAAGAAGCTGATAGAGTTATTTTGTTCTTTTTCAAAAGTGAACTGAATGTGTTTGTTAAACGAATTGAAAGAATGAAGCAATAAGTCAAAATTTTGAGGAGGTATACAAGTGATAATGTCATCAACATATCTGTAATAAAAATAACAGTCTATGTTGATGGAATTGAAGACTCTGGTTTCTAAATGTTGTAAAGATAATTCAGCTAGGGCCGGGGATATAGAGGAGCCCATGGGAGTGCCAAAAATTTGAAAATAAAAATGGTCATTGAATTCAAAATATGTGTTCGTGATTATGAATTTGATCGATTCTAAAAACCAATGTAATGAAAATGTAGTATGGTAAGAGATTTCATCCCATCTAGCTGTTATAGATAGCATCTAACATTAATTGTAAGGGGACGTTGGTGAAAAGGGAAACAACATCTAGACCCACTAATAGAGTTTCGTGGGGTAAGACTATATCATTTAATTTATTTACAAATTCAAAGGAAATGAAATGAGGGGATTGGACAGTTATGATGGAGAGTTACTTAGAAATTTTGAGAATTTGGATAGAGGAGAATTTATGTCAGCGACTATGGGTCTGAAAGGAACGTCTTGTTTGTGAATTTTAGGGAGGCCATAAAATTTGGGATTATAGGGATGTAATTTTTTTAAAGTGGATGAAAGGCCTTTTGAAATTTGTTTATGGGACACTAGGTTGTTGATTAATTTGTGAAGAGAACGGTTAATGCGTTCTGTCGGATCAGAGATAATTGGAGTGTAAGTATTGGAATCGGATACTAATCTTGAGACTTTTTCCAAATATGTGTGTCTATCTACAATAACTGTGACGTTACCTTTATCGGCTCTAGTTACTAACAAATCAGGATTATTTTTTAAAAAGATTTTGCAATCTCTAATATCTCTCAGGATGTCTTTGTACTCTATATTTTTCTTTGAGTTAAAGGATTTAATAGCGGAAATAAAGTTTTTGCAAAAGGTAGCCTTTGTATTCATTCTTAGGTCTGTGTTTTTAATATTATAAAGACCTGCTTCTAAACGACTTAGAATTTTAATGAAGTTGATGTTGTAACATGAATTGGGGAAAGCAAAATTTGGCCCCAAGGCAAAGATGTATAAAAACCTGTCTGGGATAGTTACAATGGAGAGGTTTTTTAACCATTTGTTTATGAGTGATTCACTTAAAATGATTTTGGAGGAGTTTATTTTGGATTGCAAAAGCTTTTCAAATTTGTTTTTATAAGATATTTTTTGATTAGCGCAAAAGTTCCTATTACGAATCGATTCGAACTCAAAGAAACTTTCCAGGATTTCCGATTCTACTGTATTGAGTAACCAGTTATTTATCTTATTAATAGAAAGTTTTAAATTTTGTATGTTGCAGATACAATTTATATATATATATATATATATATATATATATATATATATATATAGCGCGTACGTAATGTAGCAGCGAAAGTTCTTTAGAAATATGCTAAATTGACACTAACACTTGTTGATCGCCACTTTGACTTATTCACTAACTGAGACCTCCACCTTCTATAAATGTGCTTTCGCAATGATGGTTTGACACTGATTGAAACAGTGTTTTTAAATACTCTGCAAGTATTCGTCCCAGAAATTCGTAGACTGTATGTCTTGCAGAATTTGTTTAATAAATTAAACACTATTTCAATTCAATTCAATTTATTTGCCGAATAATTGTAGCGGAATACGGAAATCACAGTGATATCGATTTACTGATAAAATGTACTATCGACTTGAACAGTTAGAATCACAAAATCTATATACTGAATGCTAGTTACTGCTGCTACTGATAATAATACTGCAGCAGCAGCGTTGACTGATCTGAACAAAAATAATGGTGTTACCATATACATTTCTTTCTATACTCTCACTCGATGCACAATTGCATAATAGCAACTACAAAACTTAAAGAAATTAACTTGGCAACATACAAAAAATCATACATTTTTTCTAATACAAAATACAATTAAATTAGTTCACATTCAAGAAATAACACAAGATACAAATATTTTGTTATTTACAATATGAATCATTAATTGTCAAGGGCACTAATTTATGAATAGGTCTTGTGTAGGTTCCATTTGAGGTTTTAACTTCTGCCACTCGAACTTTACCATCACGACTATAGTTTAAATTAACAACTCTAGCCAAGCACCATCTAAATGGGGGAAGGTTATCCTCCTTAATCAAAACTATCGAGTTTAATTTCAAATTTAGCTGATTATCTGACCATTTATTTCGTTTTTGCATATGAGATAAATAATCCTTTGACCACAAAGTCCAAAATTTATCTCGCATGGCAGTTAATTGCGTATATACCGTTAATGAATTTATCAAAATTTACGTTTGGTTCTGGAATTGTAGTTAAAAAATCTCCAATCAAAAAATGACTGAGCGATAATTACTGAAAACTAGAAACATCATCTGTTATTGCCATAAGAGGACGTGAATTAAGAATTGCCTCAACCTGTAATACTACTGTTAAATATTCCTCGTAAGTTAAACAGGAAGACCATATTATCCTCCGAAGGTGATATTACATAATTTTAATAGTTCCTTCCCACAATCTACCAAAATATGGGGAATGAGAGGAATAAACTTCCAAGTTATGCCCATCGTCGCAGCTTGGTTAATTATATCTGCCTTGAAGGATTGTTTACTAAAAAGATTCCGTGCTCTTGCAACTCATGATTAGGGCCTATAAAATTCGTTCCGTTGTCGCTATTTATTACCGAACATAGACCTCTACGAGAAACGAATCTCTTTAAAACACAAATAAATGATTCTGCTGTGAGACTAGTTGTAATATCTAAATAAACAGCTTTCGTCACCATGCAAACAAACAAAACAATATAAGCCTTAATTCTTGGTGCTTTCCTTAATCGACTAGATCTTATAGTTAGCAGTCCTGCGTAATCAGCCCCAACATTAAAAAAGGGCGGTGAAATTTAACTCTATCAATGGGTAAACTTTCCATCAATTGAGAGGCAGTAACAGCTTTAATTTTTGCACATTTTACACATGAGTGTAATATTGCTTTTAGCTCTCTTCGCGCGTTCAAGGGCCAATATTTTCGACGAATATTTGCTAAAACCGTTTGCGTGCCCGCATGCATTAATCTTCCATGCTCTTGTTTCAATAATAGTCATGTAACATAATGTTTTTGGGCAGAATTATTAGGTGCTTTTGTTCATAAGGAACATCAGCATTTTCTCTCCTGCCGCCCACTCTCAAAAAACCTGACTTATCTAAGAAAGGATGAAGCGATTTCAATTCCGTCATCAATTTAAGATTAGAAGTATGTTTACTATCTTGCAGATTTTTTATTATTTTTGCGAAGGTTTCTAACTGAACCAATTTTAAAATTACCTTCAACGCATTATCTAATTCTGGGACCGATAACGTATTGTGATCACCACGACCTATCGAATTTTTAATATAAGGGTTCATTCTTAACCCTCTAACCCGAGTTTTTGATAGAGCCAGTAAAAAAAGTCAGAACATTTTTTTTCTAGACTAATTTGACCATAACAAACACTTCTGCATCATTAGATTTTCATTTTGACTTACCGTTTAGCTACCAGGTACAAAAAGGTGAAGATTACTTCAAAGTAATCTTGATGGGTTCAGTGAAAAATTTGATACAGGTAGATATTTTTATTCTGTATGGTATTTATTGAAAAAAGTGAATGAAAGAACAATGGAATGTAATAGAAATTAATTATTTTTTGTTATGATATTCTACGAAACAATTTTTGCCCTTAAAGCAACATAAAGCTATATTACATTTGGAGCAAATGCACATAGTTAGCGCCTTTGTTTTGTTTTGGGCACAGAGTTTACACGTAACACGTTTTTCTGTCCATTGTGGCCAATGATCCATACAGTCAAAACGAGTGTCGTCCACTGGATGCACCGCACGTCTTCCAACAGGAAAAGAACCTGAAATTACGCCTGGAGTTGATGGCCGAGAATCGCTTGAAGCAACTCTGGATGATGGACGACCAGCTTGGCGCTTGAAGTTGTAGTTCACAAGGCCAGCAGCAATATTTCTACGAAATTGTGGCAATGTCAACAATTTTTCGCGAAACGTGAATCGTGAACTTTCTCTCGGTGTATTCGGCGATAGAGTATGTATACGTTGGTGGCAGCCATGTCAATAAAATGGTACAACAAACGAGTTGCTGCATCACGAGTTTTTGCACGAATATGATAGCGGCCCATCAAGCCATCCATCAAGTCCACGCCGCCCATATGTTTGTTATATTCGCTAATGATTTCGGGGCAATCGATGTCAATGCGGCCTTGCTTGCAAACAAATCAGCTGGCTTTTCGTGGTTGTTTGGTTGGATTTGTCAAACTGGTTTGAAATGATTTCACACCAACTTACGTCGATGCCAACGAACGACTTTGTTGCACAATACAGTAGTCAGATCAACGCCATATGAGGATGCCATATATTCCTCAGAATATCCTCTTGGTTTATCTTTGATGGCTGTTTCCAAACTCAGCTTACAACCAGGCACTCTGTTCACTCGTATCGTACCAAGACTGAAAATTCCACGAGCGCGCAAATACACCAACAGAGGCAAACTTGTATAAAAGTTGTCGAAGTATACAAAGTGATTTGCCATATCCGGGGTGGTTTGAGACAATCGCATGACAACATTCGCCGAAGCACCAAGATTTGGATGGCCATCCACGAGTTTGTTGTCTCCAGCACCATTGTAAACTTTGAACCGATAAGCAAATCCAGATGAGTCACATAGAACGAATAATTTCATGCCCCATTTGTGTGGCTTATTGGGCATATACTGCCGCAAATGGTGCACCATCTTCGTATCACACATCTGTTCATCGACGCAAAGTCGAGCTGGCTTTGGGATGGAATCGAATCGGTCGTTCAAGATGTTTACGACAATTCTCATCCGGAACAGAGGATCATATCCAGCTTGGCCCTTTTTCGAACGTTCAGCTTCATCTCTGAAGCATAAGAATTTCTTGATGAGCTCAAATCGCCGATATGACATTGTTTGCCGTATTGGTTCGAATGGAATATCTCCCCAATAACTTTCGAGATTTTGAAACCGGTAAAGTGACATGTATAAATGAATGCCAATGTATTTATACACATCATCGGCATCCACACTAAATGTAGTGTTTATGTCTTTGCTCAGAACACACCCGTTCGTTTCTTCAACTACAATGTCTATTATTTCTTTTGAAAAGAAATAACAAAACAATTGCATCGGTGTTGTGAGCTCTTTCACTTCGGCTGGTAGCGACGAATCACCCCGGAATGCCACTTCATTCACATGCAATTGGAGAGAATTTTTCTTCCAAATTGGATGAAATTCCTTTGAGTCGATCAAAATCGATTCAAGAGCTGTAAACAGAGATAATAGAAATGATAAGCATTTGAATTCAAGTAAAAATGTAGAGTAGATGTGAAAAGAAACTTACTTTTACCAGTAAAACCACCATTATTTGGCATCGGAATCGGAATCGGACAAGTGTCATCCAAAGTTGGCAATGGTGAACGTGGCCGTTTTTTTCGACGGGCAGATGTTGATGGCAATGCAGCTTGTGCAGATGTTGATGGTTCTTCGCTCAAAACATTTTCAGGTGGAACATCATCTTCTCCAACGTCAACTGCAGAAAGCAATGATTTTTTATATAAAATATGTATTTAGTAAAAATATGTATGAATTTACCTTCATGTAAAGTGGAAGAAGCAACATAAGCACTAAAACAAGTAACATTCAGTGACATGTTCACGGCATCGGCTATACTCACAGCATCAAAAATGGCATAAGTGTTGTCAAGCAGCAAGCATTCATCGATGGCATGATCCAATTCTGGAGTGATGCCGTCTGGTTCGAAGTCTGGATCATTTTCTTTATCGTCATTGTCGTTATCATTGGAGAGAGAAACGGAATTCAGCAAGTCGGCAGCTTCTTCTTCCGATAAATTCAACACGTTTAGGCGGTTCCGGTCCAAAAGGGAGAGTAAACGTGCACTGGTACGACGGTTTGACATAATTTCTGTAGTACGATAGAAAAAATTCCATAAAATTATGTATTTTTTATACTTTGATAAAAATTTCAAAATTTCAAAAAAAAACGATATATTTTGCACTTTAGTTCTTAAAAATTCTAAAAAAATTTAAAAAAATTCATAATATATGATATTTTCTACATTTTGACTTAATGCATTAAAAAAAATCGACCCCAACACGTTTATCATGTAACAAAAGAGAGATAAACAAGAAAAGGTGCGATAAACGGTAAAAACGCGTTGGGGGGAAAAATCACTGAATCCGGCAAGATTACTTTGAAGTAACCTCTGTTTTTCCCTTCAAAATACCGAAAAAAAAATTTTTTTCACAATAAAATATATAATAATTGAAAGGGGGATTACTTACCAACAAAATAAAAAAAATCCGATGTCGAAATAATGATTGGTTGAAGAAATATGTGGCACAAAAAACACAATTTTTTTTTCACTAAATTTGATGCTTTCTTCTCGAGAGCTCACACTATTATGACTATAGAAGCCAAACTATACTTCAAATGATGTTGGTGTCTGAAGAAGAAATGTCAAATAAAGTACGAGGGACAAGTTCATGCTTATTTGCATGTGATTATGTTGTCACACGGTGACACCAACTCTTAAATATAATTTGCCAGACGTTTCTGCGGTTGTTAACCATGTCTGGCAAGCTGATACTAGGCTATAGCATTTTTTTAGTCAGTCCAATTTTCATTTTTTTGACTTCGAATAGGTTCACCAGACTCACGTTTTTTGTTGCCAGACATTTTGGGCGCTGCTAAATATGTGCCAGAGGCCAATTTATTTAATAATTTTTTAAAAAATTCAAATCATTTTAGTCTGTCTGTAATTTTAATATTATGTTCATTAAGGGTAATAAAACATAGAATTAATTTGCCAGACGTTTCTGTGGTTGATAACCATGTCACCAATGTATTTGGTGTGATTAAAACAAAAACTATAATACAGGTTTAATAATAAAATTTTCATAAAACAAATAGTCAAAGTTTCGATTTTTTTTCTCAAACTTCTCATTAGATTTTTTGGAGCGGAACGTATTCGAGAACAAATGAAATCTAACATTATTAACATCGGTATCATTTTTTGCACCATACATTTGGCAAATAAATTTCTTTAACGTTATAAATATTGCTTCAATTTCTATGTCATCATCCGTTATAATTCTGTCAAATGCCAGCTGGTATTCTTGAGAAGTTTCTAATAACTTAAAAGGCCTAATTTTGCCTTTCTGAAAAATGCTGGCGTGTAATCACATCCGGTGATTGCGTGAAAACATGGTAAAGCTTTAGATGATGAATCACCAAGAATTTGGTACACCTGATTAACATTTATGTAACGCTGATGATTGCCCACACCCATATTAATCCGAATTTTCAAAGACAACTTTGAGTGATTCATATTTCCTAGAAGTATGATCAAAATATCAGAATCCGAACAGCATACAAAATCGATTTGTCGTTTGCATTAAAATCGATTTGACTAATGTGATAAATAATCCAAGAATCGGCTTCTTCGTGTTCTTCACATGACATTGATTCTTCAATTGTCTTAATTACTTTGTTATTCAAAACTTTATATTTTTTTTTTTTTTTTTTTTTGACTCGTTTTATTTAGCAATCAGAAATAAATAAAGATTCCTATGAGCTAAAATGACATTGTAAGAGCGATGCCTAAGAAGAGCTCCAATGAGATCATCTCAGTTTAACAATTAATATAATAATATTATATGAATAACATTTATCAAAACTTGTGTAAATAATTTTATTGCCAATAAAAGGGGCCATATCTTCACTATCCCAGTGATTAATGAAAAAGCTAACTAGTGCTTCCTTAAATAGTATATTTTTTAGTTCTGCTATAATATTATGAGGTCGAATTTGGTTAAGTCCAATTGATATTGGCCTATTAGCTGCTTCTCGTCTTGAACGTTCACAATCTTTGATAGAAGGAGAAAAATATTGGTCAAAGATAATGTCTATGCGAACAGACTTTATCTGACAAATACAATTCAGAAACTTTTTAGAGATGCCGTCATAGGTTTGTGGTACATCGTTCATGAGATGTTTATATTAATATCAGCGGACGTTTATATTAATATCAAATTACTAGTGATTGATTTTAAAACAACAAAATCTAAGGTTCTAGGAAACGTAGAAGCATTTGAAAATATTTTTATAGTAGCTGTTTTATTACTAAATAACGAATGTCCATGTAAAACACTTAGAGAATTTGATACTGTATTTAGAGCGCAATTTAACCGGTTGGCAAGTGACTACCGCTATCTAATAATGCCCGTACATTGAATGATCTACCAAATGAATCATAAACCCTTACAATGGCAGTAGATAACAAAGTTTGAATGTTATTTTTACAGTTAGCTAACAAAATCGTCGGTGGCTTATCAGAAGGCTTATCTACTTGATGACTAATCTAATCATTTTGTGCAATGTGTAGCAAAGTATTATGCAATTCGGATTTACATACCCTACATGTACCTGTATACTTGCAACTTGATAAGGCATGAAAACCATCCAAACATTCTCCCAACAATTATTTTTATTTGCAAATTTCTTGTGTTCTTGTACAGACAATTTTTTGAATGCGTCACAATTAAATAATGGGTGATTTTGTTTACAGAATGGACAAATTTGCTTGGATTTTTGTTTACTAATGAAATTAACGGGTTTTGAATTAAATTTTGATTTACTAATGGAAGGTTCTGATCTAAAAGTCGCCTCAAAGGCTGAAATACGTGAAGTTAAAAATTCAAAAAATTGTTCTAAAGTAGGCAAATCTGTATTCCTATGTAAATTCCATGCTAAGCAGGTTTTATCGTCTAACTTTTTTGTGAATAAAAATATAAAGACTAAATCCTAATACTTAGCGTCATCATAGACTGATTTCAGTGATAACACCTGTTGTCGAGCAGTATTTAAAAATGAATTATAAAAATGCCCGAAGGCAGGTCCATGGTGTGAGAGCCACCACATCAAATGATTTCCTTGCCCTTCATCCCATTTTAGTCCCACCTTTTAGATAATACAACTTTTCTACATCTGTTATATTTTTGTTGTTATGTATTAACGAAATGACAATGTCTTTGAACTCAACCCATGAATTATATTTGCCATTGAATCTCGGCAATACTATGTCTGGTAATTTTACCTGCGGATTATTGAGTTTTATTATATTATCAATAGCTTGTTTGTTATCAACGGCGTTATCTTGGACTATTTCGTCAATCCTAGTCAATAAATCTAAATGTTTCTCACAATATTTGCGGAATTCTACTGAGTACTTTTTAGGCTCGAGCAATTCCAATTCAACATATATTTCCTCGATCCGATGAAACATTTCCAGTAATTTCTGTTTGTGTATATTTAAACCGGCAGTATTATCGCTTTCACAGCTAGTAACATATTTAAATATAATGTCAAACGTAATTTCTATCTGTGACCTCTGTTGCAAAAATGTACTTAAGTCGGCCATTTTTATTGAAATCAAATTATTACTTCGAATTAATTTTATAAACTAATAACAATTGGTCTAAAGAATGAAAATATGAAAATAACTTTGAAAAAAATAAGATTTGCATAAAAATTTGGTTTTAGGTTCATCTTACCCTCAAGTTCAAAAGTGAAAACAATTCGAACTCCGCCACCACCCCGGTAATGACACCCCTTCTCAGTTGAGTAATTTCATTTTTCTACAATAACGTCAGATATCGATAGAAGAACTAATTATTAAAAAAATAACTTTTAAAGTTTTTCAAAAAAACTAATACTTTTCAAGTTATTGGTCACTAAAAATTCATATATTTGGTGTTTTTCTTCGTTTTTTTGCAAATATCTCCTAAAATATACTTTTTAATGAAAATCATGTAATGAATAAAATAATGTCAATAAAAATTTTGATAAATCGGTGTTTTATAAAGTGTTCTAGGAATAATATTAAACTAGATTTGAAAGAGCAAATTCGCTTTTTATTTCGTTCAAGATTTAATTGTTGTATTTAAAGCCAACTAGCGGCCAGGTTTTACATTTTATGAATTTTAGTGAAATTGTGTTTTATAGTGCTCAACATAAGTTTTAAAATTAGTGCTGTTACAAGTTTTTTGCGCGTAAAAATGAGTGAGCTATCATGCAAATAAGAAGCATGTACGATGTTTTTTTCTTTTAAATCATATAGTTTGATGAGCGCCATTTCTACCAAAATTAAAGTTATTCACATTCCATCTAGAATTCACTTCATTATAGAGATGTTGATGGATTCTAGCAAATTCACTACTTTAGTACAAACTATTTTCAGAAAACTCACGATTTTATAAAAATAATTTTTTCCGTTTTTTTTTTTTAAATCGAACTTATTCTCATTATATCTCATAAAGAATAAAAGATACGTATAAAAACATATAGATAAAAATTAAAGGGATCTTTCTGGCTTATTATTTTTTTCTTATTATTTTTCTTTAACACAAAAATTGACAGAATTCTGATTGTTTAAAGAGTGCGCGGCTGCGCAATCAGAGTATCTTTCGAGCCCTTTAACCATTCGCCGTTTTAAAATGAGGGAAAAAAGTTGTAGCCCTTGAACGTACCTTACAAATGGTATATTACAAATTATGATGGAGTCAAAATTAAAGGTGTTATGACCCAAAAACTAATAGCATTTTTGTTGAATTGTGTTCATATTTCGAGCAAAGCACTAAGTATCCGGACCTCGGTTATACGGTTTCGCGATTACCAGGACTACCAATCGCAACCAATTTATCTGTATGTACTAGTGATGTAACGAATGTTCGCATTCGCGAATATTCGCATATTTTGTGATATTCGCATTCGCATTCCTATTCGCAAAAAAGATGCGAATATTTAGCGAATGTATTTAACAAATAAAAAGGAAAGTATTATATAGTTGCATATGAAATGATAACACAACTGATAAGATTTATATATTTTTATTTAATC